GTGGAGTTGGAGAATATTTATTTATGTTAAGCCCAAGTATGCTCTTTCGATAATATGGAGACATGGTAATGATGATGCCTAATGACGAGATGTCGTAATAGTGAATTATAGTTACATGAATTTCTTATGTATGCTTTTCGGTGCTTCTAACACACACATATATATGGTATATATATTGATTTCTCATTTCTAGGTTTTCTTCCATATTAGATAATTACAGTTTTTTTTGGTCTTTATGAGTGGAATTCTTTGCTTATGACTCAACATTCTTTCCATTATGTTTTGCTTTATTATGTATCCTATATTTGTCTTCATCTTTATTGTTTTTACTTTTTAGTATTTTGGCTCACTTAAGCCTAAATTAATAATTCATGTCTCACACTCAGATTAATAACTACGCTAGCTGCCGCCCCCGTCGCGCAGCGTGGGATTCCGTACTAGTACTTATGCTAAAGTGGCAGTGAAATTTCATTCCATTGCTTTAACCTTCCAATATCATACCACCTCTCTCATACTTGTGCCATGACCTTCAACCGAGAATTCAAATAAAGGGAAAGGGAGGTAATACCTTCAGTGGCGTAGCCAGAATTTCATTCAAGCGGGTGCATTAAAAAAGATAACATAAAATAATTTTTGACAATAATTCATTACGAAGTTTCATGTTTCATACTACCAAATTATTTTAAAACTACATAATTATTCAAATTATTAAGTTTGATCTTAATGTTATTTCACCATATCATCACAATTTCGTTTCATTCTATTATACTGGTAGAGTATTCCATTGCATAAAATATTCTACTAACATGTATATTGACAAATAGGTAGTAGAAAACTAAACCTAATTTCATAAGCAAATACATTGACAGGAAACAATTTTCTCTTCCGACTATCCTTGTCGTATTGATTTTCTCTAATAATCCGCACGCATACCATCTTAATAATGGTAGCTTCTACGGTACATCGGGTGAAATCCGGGGTACCGTATACCTTGATTATGAAAACTCTATCTAGAACTCGAATTAACAAGATTTTTGGACCTGATACTATACCATAATCCTTAATGAGTGAACCCTAGGTCCTAGTTATCTAAATCATTAACTATAAACCCTAAGATGGTGCATTCATTTTTTGCCTATATTTGGGCGAATCATAACCGTCGATTATTATTTTTAATTAAATTGATCTTGGGGTATAAGATTTAGAGAATTAAGGCAGAGATTGTGATCTTTAAGGGTTAGAGTATATTATCATGTCCTAAAGTTCAATCAATTGAAGGTCTAAATCGCGTTTTCATACTTAAGTTATGCGGTACCCCGAATTTCATCCTGAGTGTAGAACTCCCCCTTAATAAACTATATTAATGTATATATTATCAGGTTAAATTAATTTATATAATCAATTATGGTTGGATACTACGAATTAACAATAAGATTTTGGGTTCATTGTTCATTATTGATATATTAGTAGTTTAGTACTACTAATTTTCGTGGTTCTCCAAATCAAGGGTGTGTCATTGCACCCCCTAATAAGGGGCTAGCTCCGCCCCTGAATACCTTAGTAGTTATTGATCCCTCGCTACCAGCCTCTCACCATGTATCCCTTCCCTTCTCCAAGAAGTAGAAGAAGATAGTTTACCACAAAAACTTAAGGCAAGTATAGCCCACTCCTCCCTTAACTACTCGCTACTCTCCTTCCTAACATCTCCCCTACCCTAAAGATAAGGTGTACCACGTATTCAACCTTGCTATAGCTTGGAAATGGTTCCAAACACATGTCATGCGGGAAATAAGGGGAGAGGGGACAATACAAGTTTTCTCATTTATTTTGGGTTATTGGGATATGTAGAGAATATGTGACGGTAGAGATGAAGATGGAGGAAAGTAGTGGGGTTGACATATGCATTTAGTTACCTTATTTTGATTTGGCTTTTATCCAATGTTTCCAAGTGGAACGGTGGGTTTAGTAGTAGGAATGGAGGGGGTCAAAGAACTTATATTCTTTCCGGATGGTTTCTACATGATTAAAATTGGTACAATCACTTGATGAAACGTTGATATATAGCTTATTTGATCTCATCTTAATAGTTTTTAATTTTGCTACATCGAATTTAGGTAATGATAATCTAGATCCAAATCCTTGAATCTAAATATACATATAAAGCTTCTTAGACCAAAAACCGTTGTGACATATTACGTAATACACGAGGAAGGGGTGTGACACCTTTGAACCTAGCCTTTTGTTGTTCACGCTCACCTATTAATGATAGCTTTCACAAGACTTGTTACTAAATAAAAATTACCTTATAGCGCTTGTTATTCATCAGACAAGACTCGACTCCCGCTTCACTAATTGGAAGAAAAAGGAGAGCTTCGATCCATTGTGATTTGGTGTGGAGAGATCTAAGTAAAATAGAGAGCTCAAAGGCCTTAGTATGCGGGTAATGGCTTTGGCATGTCGAGTTTTGTCTCAGTCTCTTGGGCATGTATCATGTCATCTTGTGCAGACCGCCATGAGCTTCTAGTGGTAGTTATGATGTGAGAGCATGTTGGTTGGAGATGAATGACGGTAAGAGAGCAATGAGGGCTAGATATTTGGTACGGTGTCTCTAACAAAAGGAGAAAAAATATTGTAAGGCATAAGGATTAAATGGTTGTGGTGGCTTCTCGTGAAAGACACGGCAAGAGAAGATTAATTTATCCTTTTGGTCTTTTTAAGGTGGTTTCACGGTGAGTATGAAGGGAAATTTTGGAGATTATGTTATTAAAGCAAAATTTGGCTAAGTAATTAAGTCGAGTTCAATGTCGACTAGATGAGGGCTTTTGTGGTTTGCTTTCATTGCAGCAAAAATAATGGCTAAGGAAGGAGCCAATTTGTATTAATTTTTTTCAATTAAGTGTTCAATGTGGTCAAGTTGGTGTCAACTAGTTAGTTCATAATTCTTGTCAACTAAGTAGTGGGGGCATTTTGTTTACACATAAAAATTATCTTGTACCACATTGATTATATACAAGGCATCTATTGTCTTTATAAGGCCATATCAATATAACAATTAATGTTATTTAAACCGGCCTCATAATACTAGTTTTTAAGCCCAAACGACTAAGCCTCTAAGAGGGCACTACATTGTCGAAAGAGAGCTAAGTCCGAGACAACCACGTTGGTCACGAGATCTCACTATGGTGGTCGCGAGAGGCGGGTTTTGAGATTCAAAGCTATGACATGTCGTGTGGCGGTAACCACGTGATCACAAGAAGGCTAAGAAATAAACTAAGTATGAGACAACCTCGTTGGTCACGACATCTGGCCACGTTGGTCGCGATATGCAACAACGTTGATCGCGAGAGACGACCACTAGTCGCTAGATCTGACAGTGTTGGTCGCGAGACATGACCATGTAGGTCGCGACTCTGTGGCATGGCCTAGAGGAGGCAAGCACCAAAACTTCAATTCCAACACATGAGAAGAACCTAAGCGGTTGAGGGATCAATTGTCACTCATCTCATGTCTGAAACATGTATGAGGAAGATGGATCGGTTCTTTTTAGCAATTATCAAGAAGACGGTTCTCCAAGGCAGTTACCACCACATACCTATAAATAAGAGAGGAGGTCGATAGATACATTTGTCAAGTTTATCCTTTACCTATTCTTGATCATTTAGCCATAGATGTAACTTCAGGTTTGGAGATCTCACTGAACCTCCATAGGGGCAAGCGTAATTTAATTAGTTTCATTCCCAAAAACCATCAACTAAACCCTTATTCGAACTTTGTTTGAAAAGGTGCGAGCCGTGTCTTAGAAATCGTTGTCCAAAGAAGTCAAAGTGCCTCAATTCAATTTAATGCAAATTTTCTCGTTGAAAACACATAGGGCCTCTCACAACCACTTACTCAGGTTGTTAGTAAGTGGTATAAGATCCATTATCAAACCTCTTCTAACAACTCGAGTTATTGGGATAAAGTGGTTTGTTCGTGAACATGGTATTAGAGCCTTCTTTGATCGAGAGGTCTTGTGTTCGAATTTGAATCCTCATGGCCCCATTTGTTAAGCCATGATATTCGGACTTGTGAAACTTCAAGCACTTATGAGTGGCTTCCGTTTGATGGGACGTGTTAGTAAGTGGTATAAGATCCACTATCGAACCTCTCGCAACGAATTGAGTTATTAGGATCAAGTGGTTTGTTCGTTAACATAGGTTTCTTGCCTCGATTTGATAGGAAACAATGACCCTGAGGATGTCTCCCTTCAGGTGTTGCGCTTTGTTCGAATGATGATCGATCTTGTAGAACTGTCGTGAAACCTTGGGTTGTCTTTGACTTGAGCTCGACTCGAACTCGGCTCATTAATGAGCTATATGCTCTACTCTAGGTTGAATCATCAATCAGCTCGAGCTCCGACATCATATTATTAAGTTCATTCTTTTAAACTCTTCATATTATGTCATATGATAGTACTTAGTATATAAGTAATCGATGATACATAATTTCTTATTTAAATTATAAATGAGAGGCATCAGCTCACATACTCAAAATTTTAAATATCACAGGCGGTGAGATATATAATCCACCTAATCTATCAACTACCATCAAGCCAACTCATAAAGTTAGAAATCGGTTCACTCTTAAGCCGCTAATCGAGGTGGCCCGCTAGCCACACTATCTAGTCAGCTCATTGCTCAAAACGAGCTAATTCACGCGTTGAACTCAACAATCCACTAAATCGAACTGACGGAGAGTTTTTACAAGCTGAAAAAATCTTCGGTGAAACTCGATTTAGCTCAAAATCAACACATGTTAGCAAACAAACCAAACATCGACGGCTTTATCACCGAGCTGAATGTTAAGCATCTCATGAGCAGTTCGGCATGGCCATATCAGAGAAGCTATCTGGAAGGCAGCCCAAAAGGCTAGCCCAGCAGATTGCTCTAACAGTCTCTGTTAATTGTGAAGGTATACCCCTTTAATGCGAAGCGGGCCCAGGCTCTCACTTTTGCTTTGCGAACAGACGGTGCCGGTCGGGTTAAAGCCACCGCGTGGGCGCTAGCAATTGGCTACCGACATCTGAAAAGGACTAAAAACAAAATATATAATTAAAAATAAAAACCCCAAAGGGAGGGAACGGGAACCACGTCGTCAATCCTGTGACCCCTGACACTGACTTTCGCCTCATCTCATCCCATCCACCACCCATTGATTGATTCAACTGCCCCAACCTTTCTTTCTTTCCCACCGCACTGTACTGCTCCTCTCTGCTCTCCTTCTTCCATTCCATCTCTTTGCTTTAATACAAAAACCCATTCCCCACTTCCCAGCTCCTTTTTCTTTAGCTGTCATCGCCGCCGCGCTGCCGTGATCCGTTGCCGGCCGCTCCTGAATTCCCAGTGAGTCTGCTTCTATTTCTCCTTACCCTTCTTCTTTTTTACTGTTCCTCTTTACTTTGACGCCTTGATCGGGTTCCTAGACTTTGGGATTTGAGTCCCAGCTCTGGAACTTGGCTTCTTGTCCACCGATCGCTCATCGGATTCATATAGCTGCTGCTGCTGCAGCGTCCTCTTCCCTAGATCTTTCAGTTCTTCTTCTTTGTGCTGTGAATTTGATGAAATTGATTGATTAAGCTTTAGTCCTTCACGGAATTCGGGCTGTGAGTTCACCAAGTTTTCGGGATCTAAAATTCTGGAGTTTCTCATCACGTTTCCAGTGCCGTGGCTGTGGTCGGAACTCGGGAACAGCGAATAGTTCGTTACTGTTCCTTTATATTCCTATATTAGTTTATTCTTTTGAGAATCTCCTTTTATGTTCTTTTGGGGTTTAGATTATGACGGGAAACCGTCTGACCCGGAGGAAACTAAACCCGACCCGACACTGTTCCACGTGCTTCGTGCTAAAAAAAATCCTTTCTTTCACTTCTTCTTCCCCTTCCCCTTCCTATCTGTCATCTGCTTCCGGACTCCGTTCTCCCTGTGATCTCTCACTGTACGGAGTCCTCCCTCTCCATCCTTCCTTGGGACTTAGGTTGGTGTTCCTTTCCGGTTTACGTATCTTGATTTGCTGTATTTGGTTGCCTTTGGACGTTGGCAGGTTAAGAACATGGCGCAAATCCTGTTGCATGGCACTTTACATGTTACCGTCTACGAGGTTGATAAGCTTCCTGGCGGTGGTGGAGGTGGGCACAACTTCTTAAAGAAGGTATTTTCTGTTCCCTTTGCAGTCTTGATGTCCTGATATCTGAGTCGTCTAGTGACTAGTATATGGGGCAGTATTGTTTTTCGTCGTTTCAACTTCAACTTTGATTAGGGTCCTTTATACCGGTGGTGATGGGATTTGCTTATTTGGAATGTGCGTAACTGGGTATTGCAGATGATGAGACAGCTTTTCATTCCCCTTCCTCTGTCCTTAAGAGAATTTTGTAGTTTAATGATTAACCTATCAATTATCGCTCCCTCAGTTTGTCAAGATTTGGTTGTCCATTGTCCACTTCGATTACAGTCGCAATGAGTCTGCATGATTATGTATGTAATTCTTCTCTGTTTCACATTACTTGTCTTGATTTCCTATGGAGTGGTTTCATTCGAATTTGCCCTACTGATTGTCTGAGATTGATTTAGAACGACTTTTGTAGTTAGTGCTTTTCCTTTCACATGGTGGCTGAGTTGAAATACTGCTTTTACAGCTTGTCGATAACATCGGGGAGAAAGTTGGGATTGGGAACGGAATAACTAAAATGTATGCAACCATTGATCTGGAGAGGGCTAGGGTGGGAAGAACCAGACTTCTAGAAAATGAGCCGAGCAATCCAAGGTGGTATGAATCTTTCCATATCTACTGTGGCCATATGGCTTCCAATGTTGTCTTCTCTGTCAAGGACGACAACCCTATTGGCGCAACATTGATTGGAAGGGCATATGTACCTGTTACGGAGATCCTTGATGGTGAAGAGATAGATCGTTGGGTTGAGATATTGGATGAGGACAAAAACCCAATTGAGGCGGGTTCTAAGATCCATGTGAAGCTACAATACTTTGATGTGGCAAAAGACTACAATTGGGCTCGAGGCATCAAAAGCGCCAAGTTCCCTGGTGTACCTTACACATTCTTCTCTCAGAGACAAGGTTGCAAAGTGTCTCTCTACCAAGATGCTCACGTCCCCGATAATTTTATTCCCAAAATCCCACTTGCAGGAGGAAATTACTATGAGCCTCATAGGTGCTGGGAAGATATTTTTGATGCTATAACAAATGCAAAGCACTTGATCTACATTACTGGCTGGTCTGTCTATACTGGGATCAGCTTGGTAAGGGATTCCAGGAGGCCGAAGCCAGGGGGTGACATAATGCTCGGTGAACTGCTGAAGAAGAAGGCAAATGAAGGCGTTCGGGTTCTTATGCTTGTTTGGGATGATAGAACATCTGTTGGCCTGCTTAAAAAGGATGGTCTGATGGCCACTCATGATGAAGAAACCGCACAGTACTTCGAAAACACTGATGTGAATTGCGTTTTGTGTCCCCGAAACCCCGATGATGGTGGAAGCTTTGTTCAAGATCTTCAAATTTCCACAATGTTTACTCATCACCAGAAGATTGTTGTTGTGGACCATGATATGCCAAATGGTAGCTCAGAAAGGAGAAGAATCGTTAGTTTTGTTGGTGGAATTGATCTTTGTGATGGCAGATATGATAGTCCCTTCCACTCTTTGTTCAGGACATTGGATACAGCTCATCACGATGACTTCCATCAACCCAACTTTGAAGGTGCTGCAATAACAAAAGGTGGGCCCAGAGAACCTTGGCATGACATCCACTCTCGCCTAGAAGGGCCTATTGCTTGGGACGTACTGTACAACTTTGAGCAGAGATGGAGAAAGCAAGGTGGTAAAGATGTGCTTGTTCAGCTGAGGGACATGGAAGATGTAATTATTCCTCCGTCTCCAGTCACTTATCCTGATGATCGCGAGACATGGAATGTGCAGCTGTTTAGGTCCATTGATGGTGGAGCTTGTTTTGGCTTCCCAGAGACTCCTGAAGATGCTGCTAGGGCTGGGCTTATTAGTGGGAAGGATAATATCATTGACCGGAGTATTCAAGATGCATATATCAACGCCATTCGAAGGGCAAAGAATTTTATCTATATTGAGAACCAGTACTTCCTTGGCAGTTCTTTCGGTTGGGCAGCTGATGATGTCAAGGTTGAGGACCTTAATTGCCTACATCTGATTCCGAAGGAGTTGTCACTGAAGATAGTCAGCAAGATTGAGGCAGGGGAGAGATTTACTGTGTACGTGGTTGTTCCAATGTGGCCAGAGGGCATTCCAGAGAGTGCTTCAGTTCAAGCCATTTTGGATTGGCAGAGGAGGACGATGGACATGATGTATCATGATATTGTTCAGGCCCTGAAAGCTCAGGGTAGAGTGGAGGATCCTCGGAACTACTTGACATTCTTCTGCATTGGGAACCGTGAAATGAAGAAAAGTGGAGAGTATGAGCCTTCGGAGAAGCCAGAGCCTGATACAGATTACATTAGAGCTCAGGAAGCCAGGCGATTTATGATTTATGTTCACTCAAAGATGATGATTGGTAAGTCTTATGAATTTGATGCCTTAACACTTGCAAATTTCTATAAATTCTTAGCTTTTGATATGTGCTTTGCATGGGTCGTGATGACTTATCTGTCATCAGTTTTCCTAAAACCTAAAAGTGTCACTTTCCCCTGTGCTAATGGTTTTTACATTCTTCCCCTGTGCTTTTTGCAGTTGATGATGAGTACATAATAGTTGGGTCAGCCAACATCAACCAGCGCTCAATGGACGGTGCGAGGGACTCTGAGATTGCAATGGGTGGATACCAGCCGTATCACTTGGCTGTCAGAGAGCCAGCACGAGGCCAGGTCCACGGGTTCCGTATGTCACTGTGGTACGAGCACCTCGGCATGCTTGACGACTGCTTCCTGTTCCCAGATAGCGAGGAATGCATCAAGAAGGTAAACCAAGCTGCCGACAAGTATTGGGATCTGTACTCGAGCGAGTCGCTCGAGCATGATCTCCCTGGCCATCTGCTCCGCTACCCGATTGCCATTGACAATGAAGGCAACGTGACGGAGTACCCTGGTGCTGAGTTCTTCCCGGACACTAAGGCTCGGGTTCTCGGTACTAAATCTGATTACCTCCCACCTATCCTCACTACATAAAAAGGAGACCGGGCTACTTGGTTCGCCTGCAATATGTGAACTTTTATGATGGTGCTCTTGCCTTGTTTATGATAAACTTACTAGTTTTCCTAGCCGAATTGCTAAATAAAGTTTGGTGGTCTGTATTGTCGACAGTCGTGAACGTTGTGGTGTGAGAAGTGTATTTGAGTGTTGGGAGATGACTATATATTTATTCAGTTTTCAGGCGACCATGTGTCTAGATCAGGCGGACATGTTTGTAGATTGCTTGTTTAATTATATGTTGATGATTATGTTTCTTCATTCCCTTTAAATAGCTGGAACTGGTAAGCTTCCAAGTACGGTTTCTCGGGAATGGATCAGGTCAGTAACCTTATGGTGAGTAACCATGAGTAACACGTCCACATCAGCATGACATCAGCATCCTCTCTCTCATGGAAAGCCTTTAATTTTTCCCTCTTTAATCTTTGGCGGACGATTTCTCGCTCATTTTAAGTCGAAATTTAATTTTTTTTGCACAGTTAGATCAGATTAATCGTGCTCTTCAAAATGATATCCACTTTAATATATTTTTCGAACAAAAAAAATTGAGCCATTTTTTACCAGCCTATACCATATGGTATTGACTGGTATTGAAATAAAAGCATACCTATGTTTTGAAAAACGTACCATGGTGGTATGAACAAACCAATACTGTATGATTGTTGAATACATGATAGTAGAAGTATATTAATTGTAATTTACGACTTTTAACATTGTACCACACAATACCACCCCGTACCAGGGTGGTATTGTATGGTATTGTGTGGTATTTTTTGGTCAGTAATTTGTTCACCCAGAAATTTGTAGATCCAATAGATCATGATGAACTCGTCCCTTCTGTGCAAACGTTTTCAAAAACGAATTAAAATCGAAGAAGATACCATACAATACCACCCCGTACCAGGGTGGTATTGTATGGTATTGTGTGGTATTTTTTGGTCCTGTAATTTGTTCACCCAGAAATTTGTAGATCCAGTAGATCATGATGAACTCATCCTTGCTGTGCAAACGTTTTCAAAAACGAATTAGAAACGAAGAAGATACCATATGGTATGCAGTTGGTACCGAGAGGCCAGAATTTTTTTTCCTAAAAAAATATTGAAAATTGATCTCATTTTGTAGAGCACGCTGAACTCGTTCCATCTGTGCAAAAAAAATTAAAATCCGAGTTAAAACGAAAAAGATATGAGTCAATTAAGAAGGCTAGTGAAAATAAAAATAGCCTTTAATTCTCCATCCTTAGATCTGGATTTTCTAAATGAAGGGTCCAGATTTGGTTATTGATGGGTGCATAACCATGGGTTATGCACCCTATCTTGAACCCGGTTTCTCTTGTCATAGATGGGGTTAACTGCACGGCTTACCATTTAAGCGTATCGTATCATATATTGCACACTAACCACTTGATTTTTTTTTTTGTTACGAATAAATCTTATAAGTCGAATGCTTGCAACTAAAACATTTAAATTGAATCATAGTTGCACCCATGGTCCATTAAACCGTACCGGCGGTTCAACCACGAAATACCAATATCAGAGGCTAAACCGATAGGCGGTATTTAACGATCTAACGGTTGAAATACGATTAAACCACGGTTTTATCATAAAATATCATATTGCTGACTTTTCCGGTACGATATCCGGTACGGTTACATGGACCATGGTTGCACCATCACAATTTCCTTTCACTGGCTTAACGATAGGTACCAAACATAAATTCTTGTACTATTATTTCGCAAAAATTAAAACATATACGATTATTTTGCACTAATGGCAAACTTACATAACCATTTTAGGATAATTATGCTTGGAAACAAAGAGTTCAGTTTTTGATCCTTGAAACGGACTCTCAGCTGGCTGTGGAATTGATTAAGAAAAGAGACGACCCGGTTCACCCTCACTCTACTCTCCTTGTGGCTATTCGCAGGATGATGGCAAGGAATTGGATGGTTCGGTTAACTCATACATATCGCGAAGGGAATAGAGTCGCGAACTGGCTCTCGAAGCACAGTCTCGTCTATCCTTTCGGTATGTATGAATTAATCGATCCTCCAACCGGTTTAGAACAGATTCTTTGGGAAGATATGATAGGGATTAGTTTCCCGCGGATGATACCTTCAGGGTAGCTTTTCGGTTTGTCTTAGTTTTCTTTTGGATCCCTTTCAGGGGCCTGCGTCTGAGCAGTGTCACTTGTGGCTGATGTAAGGGATCTATTTATGTGTTACCCTTCTGGCTTGTAGCCTCCCTTCTATAAAAAAAAAAATCTCTGTCTTCCATCGCCTCACCACTGACCTTGTCTCTTCCTTACCTCCTGCAATTTTCATGTAGATGGCTTCTTCATCGGAGAATATTTCTGTTTGACCCGGATTAGTACCGGGGGATTAGTGTGGAACCTTGATCCGGACTCCCTCGTCTGATCTCCTCGGGAGTGGAAGAAACCTGTGGAGATTCGGGGCGGTCCCCGTGATCTACACTCTGACGGTCAAGTTAGAATAGGATATATGATAGAGTGTAGAGAATGTAGAGAGAGATAGGGTTTAGAGAGAGAACCATAAGTGGTAAAGTGAGGGAAAGGAGAGAAGTCCTTTTGCTTGGAGGGTCTGGCCTCCTTATATAGGAGTCGGAGGCATCCTGTGGACGCCTCCCGTTGTCATGGACGCCCCCGGTAGACTGGTCGCCTCCCGTCGATGGACGCCTCCCGGTGGTGGACACCCCAGGGTAGGCTGGACGCCTCCCGGTGATGGACGCACCCCGGATGGACTAGACGCCTCCCGGTGGACTGGACCCTAGAATGAGCTTGGGCCCAAGGTGAGACTCTTTGTGGTGGGCTTGGGCCGTATTAGGCGGGTTAATACTAGACCCAACATTTGCCCCTTTGCTTCTTGTATTCTGTAAGAATGGAAGGAGTAAAATAATGTGTTAAGGTGTATTAACTTGCCTTACTTGCGAGTACGCACGATGCGGTTTTGCCCCTTGTGCGACCATTGCTTGGTGATGGATGCCCCTGGTGATGGACGCCTCTCGGTAATGGACGCCTCCGGGTGATAGGATGTCTCCCGGTGATGGGCGCCCACGAGTGGACTGGACCCTTGCGGGTCCAAACGATGCGGTTTGCCCCTTGTGCGACCATCGTCTTTGCCCCTTAGAGCTCTCAAGTCGTTTGAGATTTCCCCTTAGAGCCCATTGCGGAGCGTGCTAATATGTAGGCCGTAACTGTGAACTGTATGCGTTAAGCTGTTGGACCGCGAGATGGGCATGAGCTTGTGTGCATGTTAAGCGTGAGTTGTTGGCTGAATATTAGGCGTTGGCTATGTGCTAGGGAGGGCGGCCCCCACGACTTGAGAGTTTTAACCAAGGCGACGTTTGTGTTTTGAAGATGCCACACCTGCTGGGAGGCGGGATCGTGTTAGCTATACCGATGGCGCGCCTACTGGGAGGCGGTTTCGGGCTTCTACATAGAGGGGAAGCATTGCTCAGGAAGCGGGATGCGGTTTTACATCTGCGAAAGATGTGAGTGACTAGTGCCCCATATTTTTAGAGCACAAACACAAGCATAGCATGTGTGAAATATGTCATAGCATGATGGAAATGATTCTTTTCATGACATGCCAATTGAGATATATTTTGCTAAGCATGATTGTAATAAGCATCTTCATATCATATGATATAAGATATATATTGAAAGGGAGAACTTAGCTATAGGAGACGATGCAGAGAGCCGTTGAAGTACTGGAAGTCGCATAATGATTCAAAAAATGTTCTGTAGTGCAGTGGTATGCGCTTCCTTTAGTACGAGGAGGATACTGGTTCGATCCTCCGTGGACGCCTTTCCAACATTATTTTTTAATTGAGCTCCTTCACTCGTGGGCTTGCTGGACACTGATGTCATCAGGCGCGGAAGGCTGGCCGCGACTAATGGGCCGCGCTGGAGGCGGTTGTAGTCTTTGTTGCGGAGCGGCAGGGCTTTATCCACGGATGTGGGTTGGGATGCGTGTGCGGGCTTGCGACGTGAAGCGGGTTGACTTCACGGTCCTGCTTATGTGAAACCGCTTGTGGGGCTTGTCACGGACATAGACTTCCGAAGTCCGTGCGGGCTATGAGTTGAAGGCGTATGTTGTGGGGCTTCGCAGGTGGGCCTCTTGCGGGCTATGAGTTGAAGGCGTATGTTGGAGGTGGGTTTAATTGAGGCTCGATGCTGGGTTGCGGTCTTCGGACGCGGAGGCCCCGTTGATGTGCTCAAAATACAAAGCGGCCCAGACACGTTGTGAGTTGGAGGCGGGCCCAACGTGAGTTGTGCGGTTGCACGGTTGGCGGGCCGAATGTAGGTTGGCATCGGGCTTTGATGGGGAGGCGATCAAGTCTTCTGTGCTGGCGGCGAGTGGGCTAGGAATCGCACTGGGCCTGTTAAAGCAGCCTAGTGTGCTTTAAAGCTTGCTTGGGGGTGGAAATTAGGGTAACGCAGGCAGTCACCCTTCCACTTTTGTCGATTGTCTTTTTGGGCATTGTTGGTCAGACTTTTCAGACTGACAGAGAGAGAAACTCCACCAATACTTTTTTATCTTTCTCGATTCTCGAGGCCACTACTGCAGCAGGGCAGTTTGTTCTTTTGAGGAAATTGGAGAAAAGATGAGGTTGACTCCGATGGGACTTTTACTTTTCCCCGCCGGAGCTCTGATGCGGTTGGCAACTCCGGTGGCCAGAATCTGGAAATTCCCAATGATTTCTTTCAACGAGGAACTTCAATGTGTCTTCTTCGTATTGCTTCCAATATATTTAGGGGCGCGACAAATGGCCCGTGCGACAAAACGAGAGAGAGGGAAACGACGGGGTGTGTTTCGGAGTATGAGCGGCTACCGTCAGCGGTGGGAGGTGAGAAGTCGGAGATGACGGCTCCGCTGCCGACTTCTTTTTCTGTTCCTTTCTTCAACTCGAGATGGTGGTTGCATTCGGTGGCGGAAGAGGCGATGTCTTCCCTTCTTCGAAAATCAGACGAAAAGAATCTCAAAATCTCGGCCCCACGGTGGGCGCTAAAATGTTTGACCCGGATTAGTACCGGGGGATTAGTGTGGAACCTTGATCCGGACTCCCTCGTCTGATCTCCTCGGGAGTGGAAGAAACCTGTGGAGAGTCGGGGGCGGCCCCCGTGATCTACACTCCGACGGTCAAGTTAGAATAGGATATATGATAGAGTGTAGAGAATGTAGAGAGAGATAGGGTTTAGAGAGAGAACCATAAGTGGTAAAGTGAGGGAAAGGAGAGAAGTCCTTTTGCTTGGAGGGTCTGGCCTCCTTATATAGGAGTCGGAGGCATCCTGTGGACGCCTCCCGTTGTCATGGATGCCCCCGGTAGACTGGTCGCCTC